CAGAAAGTATTAACAGTATCTGCTTAAGTCCCTTAGGAAGCCATTCTGCTTTACTTGGCACATCTTAAGAAGGTCATAGGACCTTTCAAACCTGATACTGGATATCAGTGAAAGTCACCAATATAAGTCAGTACCTCAGAACCATTCCATACCCACACAGAATGAGTAAAAGACTATTCATATTATCTGTTGCTTTTTAGAAAAAAGTACAGTGAAAACTAGGCTTAGTGTATTTCATAACTATCTTCATTGCACAATTAGCAGAAAATAAACGGCATTCATAGGTAGACATACAGAGGATGCAACAGGAAAAATATTTTTTTCTCTTCCTCTACACTCTTTTCTGAAATGCAGTTCATCTCTCAAAAAGCATCATCTCACAGAGCTGGACAGGCTCATGAATATTAGCTGTACACAAGTCTAGCCAAAAATGCCTGTGGATCCTACTGAAAAGAGCAAGATGACTGCATAGGTTGACTAGCTATTTTTTTTTTCCTCCACTTCTTACAGACCATTTGTAGAAATAGAAAACAAAAATTGTGTTTCAATGCTTAAGGTACTGAACCTGACAGCATCCCTATATTGGCCAGTTATCCTTAAAAAACCAGAGGGGTCATTTGGGGAAGAATCACTGTTCTGTATATTCTCTTACCACAGCCATCTACTTTAGGCCTTCATGTTTAAAATACAGGGAAGAAATGTTTTCTGCATGCCCATCTTACTAACATTTGCTCGTTTCCATTACTTTCCTTTTGCATATGCAAAGACATAGCCATTTTTGATAACATGCCATAACACTACCAAGTTTCGTTATATTTGTTATATTTGTAACATATTGTCCTGGTTTCAGCTGGGATAGAGTTAATTTTCTTCCTAGTAGCTGGCATAGTGCTGTGTTTTGGATTTAGTAGGAGAAGAATGCTGATAACACTGATGTTTTAGTTGTTGCTAGGTACTGCTTAAGCTAGTCAAGGACTTTTCAGTTTCCCATGCTCCTCCAGGTGCACAAGAAGCTGGGAGGGGGCACAGCCAAGACAGTTGATCTAAACTGGCCAAAGGGCTATTCCATACCATATGACATCATGCTCAGTATATAAACTGGGGGGAGTTGGCCAGGGGGCAGCGATCACTGCTCAGGGACTGGCTGGGTATCGGTCGCCAGTGGTAAGCAATTGCATTGTGCATCACTTATTTTGAATATTATTATTATTTTCCCTTCCTTTTCTGTCCTATTAAACTGTCTTTATCTCAACTCATGAATTTTACTCCCCTCCCCCGCCCCGATTCTCTCCCCCATCCCACTGGGGAGAGGGGGAGTGAGCAAATGGCTGTGTGGTGTTTAGCTGCCTACCGGGTTAAATCACAACATCTATGTTCATGTTACCTCATCAGGGAGTGTCCAGACAAGTTTTCCAGTGTGCTGTCTGTATCTGGATTATGCTCATGATCTTTATTAAAAACTCTGCTACTCGATAAAGACTTCTTTGCCTGTTGGGATCCCCACTCTAATTCAGATAGCATTTTATCTTCTTCCATGGGAAAGTGGTGAGAACTTCCATTGAAAGAGTCCAACCCTAAGAAGCAACAACATGAAAAGTTTATGTTTGGTATGAATATCTTAGCCATCAGGAGCCCCAAAACAAATAATTGAGAACTTTTTTCCCCAATTAAAGATGCCTTTGACTTAGAAGTCTATAAATCCAACAAGCAAGAAATGTAAATTTGGCAGCTTCCTACAGAAGATTAAGTTCTCTTCTGCATATTGTGTCCACTGTCAACAAAAGTGTCACTCAGCTTTCATTTCATCATATTATCGGTTTAAATAAAGAAAATATGCATTTGACTCTTCAATACTGATAATTAGAATAAAGCCTAGTTTCTTTGGAAGAGCTAGAGAATTTTGAAAAAAATAGGAAAAGAGATAATTTGGAACACTGAATCTTATTTTTCTCATCCTTTTATTTGCTTTAAACCTAGCTTTTCCTTATGTTATCCATTGCTTATATAGTAAGAGTGTACCAAATCTCAAGTTTCTTCATGTTTTTGTAATGTACAAGTTACTGTAGGAGGAAACGTATTTATTAATTTGTGCACTTATGAAAACTACCTGTGATCCAAAGATGCAGCACACATGCAAACTTGTTGTCGCCTTCATAAATGTGGCCATAACTCTGACTTCTCAGCAGCCTATTGGCATTTCCTCAGTACAGAATCTGAGGATAGTTCCCACGATATATTTTAATACATATAATTATAT